GAAAATTTTTGAAGATGATATGGTGGTTGGTGTTATATTTATTACCTGCCGATGTCTTGATTGGTGGTGATATTTCAACTATGTTTAATCAGGGAATATCGTGACCAGGTCACAGGAAAAGAATGGTTCTGATGCAGGTTCCCTGCATGATGTCAGTGAGGGGAATTGTGAACAGGCTTGAACAGTGGTCTCCAACCTTTTTATGCCCAAAATAACTTTTTGAATCTAAGGATCTGTCCCACCCCTTCACCAAAGCCCCACGCTGGTCACTCCACACACACACACACCCCGGAGCTTGGGGTACAGGAGGGGGCTCAGGGTGCAGAAGGGGTACAGGGTGCTGGCTCAGGAGGGGGCTCAGGGCTGGGGTTTGGGGTGCAGGAGGTGGTTTGGGATGCTGGCTCACTATTTGGATTGCAGGATTCAGGAGCCACATTCATGAGGTTTATAGATGAAGTCCTACAGGGACTAGCTAGCCATTTTCAGCAGTTCTTGACAAGATCACATAAACCATGTGGGAATTGTGTTACATAGGCTTAGAGAGGCTAACCTGTCAGTTTCTAAATGCAAGCCTCAAAGGTATCATACCTGGGACACAGTGCACAGTGGGCTGGTTTGCTCTGAGCCTATTAAAAGCTGGCCTGCGCCTACAACAAAGAAGCAGGTCCAATCCTTTATTATTTTTAAAGGGGTTCACTGATATTGTTGCTCCCATAACAGACCTTATAAAGAAAGGGAAGCCTGACAAAGTGGTGTGGATGGAGGCCTGGGAAAAGGACTTCCAGAGCATAAAAGAAGCCTTATCTAAAGAACTTGTCTTAGCCAGCCCTGATTTTGAGAAACCATTTCTGCTATGCACTAATGCTTCCAATATTGGATTTGGAGCAGTGCTAATGCAAAAAGGAGAAGGTGATAGAAGACACCCCAATTCATGTGTAAACAAGAAACTGACACCAGTGAGCAAAATTATGCAACTATTGAAAAGGAATGTTCTGCAATTGTGTGGGCTGTTAAGCAATTTAAACCCTATTTGTACAACAGAAGGTTCAACGTATTAAGCAACCATGCACCTCTCATATGGTTGCAGAGAGCTAAGGGAACCAATTCCAGGTTGCTTTGTTGGAGTGTAGCCTTACAGGAATATGAAATGAACATAATTTATATTAAAGGCAAAGGAAATGTAATGGCAGATGCATTGTTGAGAATGGGGAACTCCTAAGATGCACCCAGCAGTGTCTGGGACACCCTCTTCTACATCAATTTTGCATTGGGGGTGTGACCATGGAAGGTGACCATGTTTACACTAAACCACTGTTGCACAATTGTGATAAATCTTATGCAAAGTATGTCATTTAATGTATTATCCGAAAAGTTGTCTGCTATGTACGATTATCCTGTTTATATGCATGTGTCTTCGTATATGAAGTTATGAAACTGCTCTAGGTTTGTATCTCAAACCTGTTGTGTTTCTGGGTAACACCTCCAAGACAGATTTACATTAAGGCTAGCCAGCCAGCTTGATGGCCCATTAAGGACAATCAGCTCTTCCAGGGACCCCTCCCAAGGTCTCTTCTTCAGGCACATGTAGGCAATGAATGACTCAGCAAGACACACGTGACCCAGGACTACTGTTTGTGCCAGTAACTTTCCATGCACATGTGCTGTGGGTATAAATTGCAGACTGGGACAATGCTCTTTGTCTTCAATCCTGCACCATTTCACTGGACTGTGATTTTTGAACAAGGAAGCTTTGAACGAAGGACTGATGACCACCAATCAGGGCCGGCTCCAGGGTTTTTGCCGCCCCAAGCGGCGAAGAGGGGGAAAAAAAAAAAGCTCCACCACGCCGCTTTCTTCTTCGGCGGCAATTTGGTGGCAGGTCCTTCCCTCTGAGAGGGACAGGGACCCTCCGCCGAATTGCCACCGAAGAGCCGGACGTGCCACCCCTTCCCCTTGGCCGTCCCAAGCACCTGCTTGCTCAGCTGGTGCCTGGAGCCGGCCCTGCCACCAATCTTTTTGCGTGATCCAGAGAGACATATTTCAAGGTAGCAGAATTACCATCTCTGCTGTTTTCCTGATCCACAGACTCTGAAATCAGTTGTAAAGTATATGATTCCTTAAACCATTTAATAACTTTCTTTTCTTTCTTTTAAAATAAATCTTTAGTTAGTTTACTAAAGATTGGCTGCAACGTGGTATTTGGTGAGATCCTGAAAGTACATGTTGACCTGGGGGTGAATGTCTGATCCTTTGGGATTGGAAGAACCTAACGTGTGATGAATTTTGGTTTTAAGAATCTTTCATCACTAAGTCCAGTTGTCTGGGTGGTAACCAGGGGCTGGAGTGCCTAGGGGACTGTTATTTGTCTCTCTGTGAACTAGTACAATGATACAAGAGCTCACTTTTGTTACTAGCTTGGTGAAATATTATGATGGAATAAGCCACCAGTTTTGGAGTGTGTCTGCCCTGTTTTTTTACAGTCTGTCCTGAATTTGGCACTCTCAGCTGTGACCTATACCAGGCAGCGTGACAACCATTAATAAATATTTGTTCGCCGGGTAGATGCTTATAAACTGTAATCAAGGCTCCCCTTAAACTTCTCTTTCTTATGCTAAATAAATTGAGCTCTTTGAGTCTATCACTATAAGACATGTTTTCTAATCCTTTAATCATTCTTGTGGCTCTTTTCTGTACCCTCTCCAGTTTATCAACATCCTTCTTAAATTGTGGACACCAGAACTTAACACGGTATTCCAGCAGCAGTTGCATCAGTGTCAAATATGAGTAAAACAACCTCTCTACTCTAGATTCCCTTGTTTATGCCTCCAAGGATTGCATTAGGCCTTTTGTCCACAGCATCACACTGGGAGCTCATCTTTGGCTGACTAGCCCCCAGAGCCCCCAAATCTTTTTCAGAGTCACAACTTCTCAAGATAGAGTCCCCATTCTTTGTTCCTAGATGTATGCATTTACATGCACCCACCACATTTTTGCTTGCACCTAGTTTACCAAGTGATCTGGATCACACTGTATCAATGACCTGTCCTCTTCATTATGTACCACTCCCCCATTTTTGTGTCATCTGCAAACTGTATTAGTGATAATTTTGTTTTCTTTTAGGTCATTAATAAAAAATGTTCAATAGTGTATGAAAAAATCCAATCTCTGCGGAATCTCACTAGAAACACACCTGTTCAAAGATAATTCCTGTTAACTTTTTTTTGAGACCTGTCAGTTAGCCAGCTTTTAATCCATTTAACGTGTGCCGTGCTAATTCTAGTTTTTTAATCAAAATGTCATGTGGTATCAACTCAAACATCTTACAGAAGTGTAGATATATTACATCATCATTATTACCTCTATCAATCAAATTTGTAATCTCATCAAGAATGATAGTTTGACAGTATTTACTTTCCATAAATCCGTATTTATTGGCATTAATTATATTACCCTCCTTTATTAATTGAGTCCTGAATCAGCTATTCCATTATTTTGCCCAGAATTATCTTGCTCCTTAGCCAGCTCTTTTAAAAAAACGTGGTTGCAAGTTATCTGGAATTCTTCATTTAAAAATATTTAATATTAATAGCTACTGTTTAACATCCTCCTGAGACACCAGTGGAATGGAGAGAGTGTTACCATAAAATATGATTACATCATCTGTTTTTCCCCAAATACAGGACAGAAATATTTATTGAACACTTCTACCTTTTCTGCATTATTATTGACAATTCTGTCATTTCCATCTAGTAATGGTCCAATATCATTGTTAGGACTTTTTTTGTTCCTAATATATTTAAAACAAAAGCAAAAACAAACAAACAAAAACCAACTCTGCTGGCTATACATTTCTCCTTGTCCCTTTGCTTCCCTTATCAATTTTCTATAATTCTTAGTTTCTGATTTATATTTATTACTATCAACTTTTCCTTTCTTCCTTTTGTTATATACATATTTTTTATGGTTGCCTTCATTTCCCCACTAAACCAGGTTGATTTTTTTTAATACACAGGGCTATAATACAACACACACCCAACGCACACACCCACCATGCTGGTCTGGGTTTTATTCTCTTGGTACATTATAAATGTTCATGTTCACTTGCACCTAAATTACTATTAATTTTTAGTTCTGTGATTCTTTCCTCTTCATCTGTCAAGACAAGGTATAATATTGAATTCCCCTGTCTTTACTGTTTAGTAAATAAACAAACTTCAGAATGACACCTGAAAACATCCTCTTCCTTGTGATAAAAAGCAGCTGCTGTAATGTCTTTTCATGCTAATCTCAAAGCTTTTTAACAGATTAAGGTCTCAGTCCCACAACCCACTACTCACATGAGTAGTGACTACTCACATGTACAAAGTTTCTTGCATACTTTCATATTTGCAGGATTGGAACCGTAGAAGATTTAGTTACTGAGTGTCCTAAAATCCAACAATATTTTATTTAATTTTAATTTTTAACAATTAAATTATTAGAGAAATCCTAATATTCAAAATAAATAACCACTTTAATGCTGTTAACCTATGGGGGGGGGAAATTCTTTTGGAAGAATTATGGGCTTTTAAAAAAAATTTGACATCACAGAAATAGCATGCTGGTACAAATTATACTACACAGTTGACTGACTGTTAACTGATCTAGAAAAAAATCAAATTCCCTAAAACTATACTAAAATATGTACAGCAATGCAAAGTGTACTGATCTTAAACACAAAACATATTGGCACCACCTTGTTAAAAATGCGTATTATAGTGATAAAAAATCTGGGATCCCTAATGAAAAGAGACAGCATGGTTTTATACAGTCTGACAGAAGGATAGTACAGTTCTGAGATTAGCGGCTTGAACAAAAAGCTGGCATGTGGAATTGCAGTCTTTTTATATAATGACTTTTGGCAAATATCTCCTTTAGGACCGAGTGGAAATGTTGTTTGCCAGGAGAAACTTCTTCTTGAGTAATGGCCAATCACTACGCAGTGATGAAGGATGAGCTTCGAGTGAGAAGCCCGCAAAAGCCAGTTTAAATTATTGAATCAGAAAAGCAGTATTTTTAACAATGATCACTCTGACAAACACATGACCCTGGAATTATAGCTGATTCAATGTTTAAACTAGGGTGGATTTGTACTGCAGGAGGTTATTGGAGTGTAGAGTGTCTCATCACTCTTTTCCATAAAATGCCTTATTTTGCAAAACTCATTTTATTACTCTTTTGCTTTGTCCTTCTTGTGGAGAGCAGAAAGCACAGGAGGAGGAGGTGGACAGGTCAGCTGGAGGTGCAGAAGGCAAGGTAAGGAACCTTAAAATATATAACTCTCTTGCTCTCACTACATATACACTAGTGAAAGTATCAGAGGGGTAGCCGTGTTAGTCTGAATCTGTAAAAAGCAACAGAGGGTCCTGTGGCACCTTTGAGACTAACAGAAGTACTGGGAGCAAAAGCTTTTGC